CGCTGAAGAAGCAGCGTCAGTCTTTCCCCTCCGGTTACTGAGCTGGAAACTAAACATGGCTGAATAACCATTGTCACAGAGAATTATTATTTTAACCATTATTTTTGGAAAACTCTTCTTCTGCGTTGAGTGTTTTCAATTCCAGAGTCATCAGGTAATCTACTTCCTGTTCTCTGGACGAGTAGATTTAGGGGGCAGACCCAGAGAATACTGTAGCTACACGCTTTGTTTTGAGGGGGACTGCTGTGATTGACAGACGGCCTGGTAGAAGCCACCGGAGCATCTTTGAAACCCGAGCAGTCGGAGCCAATTTTGCCTCTGCCTCTACCCAGAGAGCGGGATGCAGGACACAGGCGTGCTGAGCAACCTGAGACTCATGGGGGAAATTGAAATTCTCTGCAGGGAGAGAAAGAGGGGAGTCTTTCAAGGGCTTGGTTCGCACCTCCCTTTGCTCCCAGCATGGCATATTTTTAATAAGGGCACTGGCTGTCAGCACACACCTCTCCTTTCAATATGTATGGCTGGAAGCTTCAGGCAAGCAAAGCCAGGATTTGCAAAGCTTCAAACAGCTGGGAATAAACAGCAGGAGAGCTACAGTAGACACCAGTTGCCACCTGTCAATCAATGGTGCATTCAGGAACCAGTGGTTCACATGTTGTCGGAAAAAGCTATCATTTATCTTGTCTGATCAAATGTGCTTGAAGTGTCACCATGGCAACCAGCGGCAACTTGAGGACCTCCCGCTCAACCCGCAGCCCGAGCAGCTGTGGATGAGATGTGATTAGAGTGTTAGTTTACTGCGGTTGACATCGTTCAATCCTTTCACCGCGCCGCAGCTTTCCGCTAATTAGGATCCTCGTTTTTTTTCTCTCGGCGGCGGCGCAGAGGAACCGACGATTACGAGTTACTCCACTTAGTTTTTGGTGCAAACCTTCAAAAGGACGGCGGCGCTTATGTGCAACAAGACAAACACTTCATCTATCAGAGCTCATGTTGAAGAGCCCCCCCCCCTCCCCCCAGTGAAGGCTCGCGCTTAATGCAAGTGGAGGCGACTAAATGGAGATCAAATTAGTCAAAAGTACTCTGCTGAGAAACGTGGAGGTTGAACAGATGGACAATTAATGGAAGTGAAAGTCTGGGGTAGTGCACACAGCAGAGGGGGTGCACACTGCTCTGAAATAAAAATAAATAAATAAATAAAGATGGAATCAGTTTTAAGAGTCAGCCTGCAGACTTGCAGCGCCATTTATGTCAGAAATGATATCTTACAACAAGGCACGGTTCTCGCCTCTAAATACAAAATCCAGTTTACATTCTGTTCTTTTTGCTTCTCCTGAAAAAACATCAATATTTTTTTTTTTATCCACGAGACCAAAAGTGTGAGTTTAAATCACTGAGAAGTTCTGCAAGGAAGTTGAACCAGCACTTACATCACTGAGTAACAGTGACGACCGCCCCGATTACTCACTTTATGTAACACGATAACTGAGCGTTGAAGTGGCTGACGTCAGCCGGTGGAAGTGGTTTCTCTGGGCGCCTGCTCCTGCTGCGTGAGGACACAACTGCCACACAGCTTCCTGCAGGTCTTTGTCTAATAACAGCATTTTGTTAAGATGCAGGATACTGGGGGGGGTGGGGGCGGGTGGGGAGTGAATATGTGTCCCTGAGTTCACCCATCTCCACTCGGGTGAGGCAGTAATTTTCATGATAACACAGGCAAACTGACACTGCCTAAGAAAACTGTCCCGAGGAAGTGGATGCGGGATGGAGGGGGTCGGATTTCTCAAGCAAAAATATGCAAATTTAATACACCAGCAAAAGTAAAAATGCATGTCAAGTGTTGAGGAAGACGAGCGGCCGGCTCGTAGAGGAAGGCTGTGTTAAGCTGAAGGCACTTTAACTTAAGAAAACACACGCAAATACACAAAACAAAAAACAAACCAAGAAACCATTTTCACCAATTTGACAGCACATTTAGAAGAAGAAGAAAAAAAGAAAAAGAAAAAAGTGCTTCAAAGTGTAAAAACAGTCAGAAACAGGAGAGAAATGTGCTGCGAAAACAAGGACGCTAAACAGTGATGAACACACCTGAGCTAAACTCATTTCCACCGTGCTCTGTGCAGCTCGCACCACCTCTGTATTTTGTTGTGTTGTCTCACTCTGCAGCGTTTTCTTCCCTAAATGCACGTATCAGTAAATTGATGCTTTCATCATTTGGCTTTTTCTGTGTGTGTGTGTGTGTGTGTGTGTGTGTTTGCAGTGCTCCGAGCTCCCGGGGCCCCTGTGATAAAAAAATAAAAACACACCCCTCCTGTTTTATCTTTGAAATAAAAGCCTTAATTAGTCTCTGATTCAACCACACTTATTTGCTTTAAGGATGTAGCCCACGCGCTCTAATAGAGCATGAATGTTATGTTATGAAGCCTGGATTTGGGTTTACATCTTGCAGGCGTCCATCACCCAGTGGCCACCGGTGGTACTGCAGCTCTGGCCTCAGCTTGTGACCATGTTTTTAACCATTTGCTGTGAAGAATCTCTGCTCTTCCTCCATGACTTTCTCCTGCTGACTGCAGAGACACCGACAGGCCGCTGTCGCTGCCGAATGAGGGATTGGTGACAGTGAAAACTGAAAACCGTTACCACGGTTGCAGCCAGCAGATGACTGCTCAGAGTTACACTGTGCAGGAACAGAAGACACGATTATAGACGCTGTCAGATTACTTAATTACAATGGGATGTAAGGATAAAAAGCAGTGATGAACTGGTGATTTGTTCCTATATGGAGTGGGCAGTTGCTGCAGTGGAGGAACATATGCTCAGAACCAGATCTGTTGGGAAGTCCACTCAGTATATTTTTCCCAAAAAAACTGTCAGCTGTCAGTTGTTTACGGAGTTCTCGATTCCTAAAGTGAAGTTTTCGTGTTTATGAAACTATTTGACTGATGTGAGTTCAAGATTATCATCACTGCTTAAAACTGAGGCAGTTTTTTGGCAGTGTCTTCTCTCCATGTGGAGGAGTGCTCGTCCCAAGAGAGATTACTATGCAAGTTTCCTCCTGACAAGACCAACTGTGTGTCTGTAGCGTGCGCTGCTGAACTGTGGGGAGGGAAAAATAAATAAATAAAAGCATCATGCAACAGTGGCCCCAGTGGGATAGCATGCCGCAGAACACACGTGAACTGGGTGTAGTGAAACGGAGAGAGAGAGAGAGAGAGAGAGAGAGAGAGAGAGGAAGCTCCTCGTTATTAAACGAAGACGCCGCATGGAAACCCTAATATACACAGAATGAGGTGATCAGAGTCCGCGGCGTGCGACGGCAGGCAAATGTCAGGCGTTTCTCAAAGGGGAGATTCTTTTTGAGGTTATTGGAGGCCGTTTGTGGCGCCTCAGGAAATGTGTCACAAAGACACGCAACTGAGACACGGAGGATAAAAAAAAAAAAAAAGAAAAAGGGTATAATGAGACATTTTGGATCATCATTAGTGTAATATATTGTGTCACTACTAACGCAGGTATAAAAGCCAAGTGATGCACAAAGGACACTAATCACAGTCGCTTGTAAAGAACATGTGACCCAGCAGCACCTCTAAACTTCATTAATAACTCATTTGTTTGATGCACCACAAGAGAAAAAAAGGAGTTTTTGAGTTTGGCCACTTCAACTTCACCTCATCTTCTAATTTATACCTTTTTTTTTAAGGCTGATTATTGATCATTGTCACTGACTCGATCGTGTATTTGGAGACTCTACGAATAAAATAACTTGATATTTGATTATATACATATTAATTCAAGTTTTACCAAGTAGATTAAGTTATTTTGTCTTTGCAGGGTCAGTATAGTTTCATATTGAGATCTTTTAAAATGAAGGCCAATGCACATTATCCCTCATTGTGGAGTTTCTTTATTATATTATATCATATTATATTACATTGTTGTTGTCTGCTAATCGCTCCCCCTCTCTGTTGTTATTATTCTGCTCAATGTCACTATCAGAGTGTTTCATGTTTGATTTTCTGAGCAGGAAGTAAAGGTAGGCTGACACCAGCCTGTTTGGAATATATAAAGGGGAGGGTGAAATGAATATTCAGCCTTCCCACTACATGAGGCTGGGCTTCTGAAGTCACGGCTCCCTCTACAGTTTGCACGGCGGAAATTTTCCATCCAGTGCGGGAAAACAATCAAACTGCCTGTGCTGCTGAACAGTCGGGGAGGACACAGACGGAGAGACGCGTACGGAGATCACACACACACACACACGCACACACACACACACGTACACAGCCACCCCTCCCCTCCCTCCTCCTCCTCCTCCTCCTCCATGTGTGTGTGTGTGTATATATGTATGTGTGTGTCTGGAGACGGCGGCGGACACGCGAATATCTCCGCGTACGGAGCTCAGATTTACACGCGGAATATCCATCACTCTCGAGGCTGATTTCACTGTTCCCTGCGGACAATGGGGAAAATGTGCCATTCTTTGAATACTTGAGGAGTGACGACAACTTTCCTCTGCTCGTCGGACTTCACGGCGGAAGATAAAGCGTGGAGCAAGAAGAAGAAGAAGAAAGAAAGAAAGAGAGAGAGAGAGAGAGAGGGGAAAAAAAAAGAAAAACAAACTGGATTTAACAATGCACACGGATCAGCTTCCCGATCAGCATGTGCAGTTTTAAGCACCGGGCAGTTTGGAGTCTCTGCAGCGGGGACACCGAGCGATGTTGTCTGCGGAGATGCGTTGTTTGCTGAGCTTCATGTCCATGGATGTTGCGGCTCGGTCGGGCTGCACACGGAGCCTCTGGGTGGCTGTGATTGGACCGGACACAGACTGGGGCTGACTGATGTTTGACCGAGAGGAAATGTTTTTTTTTTTTTTTGGGGGGGGGAGGCGATCGATATGAGTTACTGGTCTATCGTCTGTATGTTATGAGATGCCAGTCTTCACGAGCACACGTACCACTGTGAGGACGGAGGAGGAAAACATGCAGGAATAAGACGAGGATTTTAATTTTTTATTTTTTAATTCTTTGAAATCTTGGATTTAAATTCAAAAAGCAGAACAGAGACACCTTCTTCTCTCCCGCGGGCCTTTATGTGTTTAATGTAATTTGTTTTATTGCCTTTACAAACTGTTACAAGTGGATGTGGACAGTTTGCTCCTGCACTAAAGTTTTTTTTTTTCTCCTTTCTTGACTATCATGCATGTGACTCTGGTATCGCATTATACCGGATTATAAAATATAGATTTTATGGACTATCACCTTGCTAACTAACATATCCCACCTGGACTTTTATTCTGAAAATCGCATGTTAAGTTGTGGGACTTTTTTTTTTTTTAAAAGGAAAGAAAACAATCAGCTGCTTAACTTTGAAATCCAGTAAGATGTATTCACAGATGCCGGGCAACATGGCAGTTAACTGGGTTGTGTATTCTGTGTTTTTGCTGCCGCTGTTCGCGGTGGGGACCGCCTTCTCGGGGGTCTTCAATGCCACAGACAGAGACATTTTCACAGATGACTTGCTGCAGGTCAAGCTCACACAAGACAGAGCTGCTGAGCAGTGGAAACTCCAGTCTACTGCCTCCCATCCAAACCTGTATTTTAACCAGGTGGATGTGTTGCACTTGAGGCAAAGGTCCTCCACCACCCACAGTCATATTTTTAAAGTCATCCGGGCGGCTGTGCTCACCATGTTGTCTAATGTCCCTTTTTACATGCCCCCTGTGAAACATGAGGAGTTTACAAGCAAGTGGAATGAGATTTATGGGAACAACCTGCCTCCCCTGGCGCTCTACTGCCTGTTGTGCCCGGAGGACTCTGCAGCGCTGCAGTTTCTTATCAAGTTTATGGATAGGATGGCTGAGTACCCTGACTGGAAGGTGACCAGTGCCCCTAATGACGAGGTCCCCATGGCGCACTCTCTCACCGGTTTTGCTACTGCTTATGACTTTATTTACTCTCAGCTCGACCAGCGCAGACGGGATGTTTACCTGAAAAAGATCCGCTCTGAGACAGAAGAGCTGTATGAGCTCTCCAAGTACAGAGGGTGGGGGAAGCAGTATCTCCAGAATCATCAAACTACGAACATTTTAGCCATCCTGACCGGTGCAATAGTGGTCGGATCACACGGCGACCCGGAGTCAATGATCTGGAAGCAGGTGTCGGTGAACTACATGGAGAAAACAATGTTCCTCCTAAATCACATAGTTGACGGGTCCCTGGACGAGGGGGTAGCCTACGGGAGCTACACAGCCAAGTCCATCACGCAGTACGTCTTCTTAGCTCAGCGCCACTTCAGCATCGACAACATGCAGAACAACTGGCTGCGGGGACACTTCTGGTTCTATTACGCCACCCTGCTGCCGGGCTTCCAGAGGACGGTCGGCATCGCGGACTCCAACTACAACTGGTTCTACGGGCCCGAGAGTCAGCTCGTCTTCCTCGACACGTTCGTCATGAGGAACGGGACGGGCAACTGGCTGGCTCAGCAGATTAGAAAGCACAGACCCAAGGACGGTCCCATGGGGCAGTCGTCCGCCCAACGCTGGGCCACACTTCACACAGAATACATCTGGTACAACTCCCACCTCACACAGCAGCCTCCCCACAATTTTGGCAGAGCGAGGATGCATATTTTCTCAAACTGGGGTGTGGTCACCTACGGAGCGGGGCTGCCCAACGGTCAGGGTAATACTTTTGTCTCCTTTAAGTCTGGCAGGCTGGGTGGCCGCGCAGTCTATGATATTGTCCATGACAAGCCTTACTCCTGGGTGGATGGCTGGAACAGTTTTAACCCCGGTCACGAGCACCCGGACCAGAACTCTTTCACATTTGCCCCTAATGGACAAGTGTTTGTATCTGAAGCACTTTATGGCCCAAAGTACAGCTACCTGAACAATGTCCTGGTGTTCAGCCCCTCCCCCACCAGTCAGTGTAACAGTCCGTGGGAGGGTCAGCTGGGGGAGTGCGCGAAGTGGCTGCGTTGGACCGACGAAGGGGTGGGTGATACCAGAGGGGAGGTGATTGTCGCCTCCTCGCACGGGGACACCATGTTCGTGAGTGGGGAGGCGGTGTCGGCGTACTCCGCCGCCATGAGACTAAAGAGCGTGTTCAGGGCCTTGGTTCTGCTCAACTCGCAGACGTTGCTCGTGCTCGACCACGTGGAGAAGTGGGGCGACTCGCCCGTGAAGTCGCTCAGCGCCTTTTTCCACAACCTCGACATTGACTTTAAATACGTCCCTTTCAGATTCATGGACAAATACAACGGCGCGATGATGGACGTGTGGGACGCCCACTATAAAATGTTCTGGTTCGACGCCCAGGGTCACAGCCCCGATACCAGGATACAGGAGGCGGAGCAGGCGGCGGAGTTTAAGAAGAGGTGGACTCAGTATGTCAACGTCACTTTCCCAGTGACGGGGACAGTCAGCAGAGTGGCTTATGTTTTACACGGGCCGTATGTCAAAGTGTCCAACTGTAGATTTATGGATAATAGCAAAAACGGAGTGAGGCTTTCTTTAACCATAAACAACACAGAGAGGATCGTTTCTATAGCGACCAACTATAAAGACATCGGGGCCAGGTTGAATTATTTAGGATTCGGAGGTCACTGCAAGGTTGAGGACAGATATCAAATCACTCGATTCGGCCTCGGGACTCAACTCATCCCCAAACAAATCAGCAGTGATAATCAGCTGTTCGACTTTGGATTCACAGTCAACGTGATAGCAGGGGTCGTTCTCTGTGTGGCCATCGGATTTCTGACCATGCAGAGAAAGTTTTATGTGTGCTTCAGCAGGCTGATGCGTTACGCCCTCCTCTCTGTGCTCATTCTGTGGATAGCCGAGCTGCTGTTTGTGTCTAACAGCTGCGATCAGCTTCTCTGTGGGGTAAAATGGAAAGGTGCGGGTGCCAAGAGCGAAGTAAACAAACAAATCAGATTGTACGAGCAGCGCCGGCTCCCGCTCCCCACCGTCGTCATAACAACCCTTCCCGGATCGGGATCGGAGATACTCAAACATCTTTTCTACAACAGCTCGGACTTTGTTTACATCAGGGTTCCCACCGAGCACGTGGACATCCCCGAGACCGAGTTTGAGTTCGACTCGCTGGTCGACGCCTGCGAGTGGTCAAGGTCAGACGCCATGCACGGACGCTTTAAGATTATTCAGGGCTGGCTGCACTCGCTGGTCCACAACACAAAGCTGCACTTGCAGAATATTCAGCTGGCGGAGGGCGGGGGCAGGGTCAAACAGCTGCAGAGGGTCGGCCCCTCCAGGGACAGGAAGAAAAGATCCAGGAGGAGGGAGCCGGCGTCTGAGCTGAAGGGCAAACTGAGGGCCAGTCTGGACAGAGATGCAGAGTACATCAGGGAGATGAGACGCCACGTTGTGGACTACCCCGATGCCAGGGTTGTCCTCAACATGCGCAGTGGAAGCTGGGCCCTCAAACTGCCTTTCCTTCAGGAGGTGGTGGGACCCTCCTTGAGGACAATCTACTTGGTGAGAGACCCTCGAGCGTGGATTTATCTCATGGTCTATAACAGCAAACCCAGCCTTTACTCCCTTAAAAACATCCCCCAGCACCTTTCCTTGATATTCAAGGAGGATGCCGTCAGGGATGGGTGCCCGAGCGTGGCGCCAGAGTTTCAAACAATCCGGAGGCTGCTGTCCCGCTCGGAGACCAACCCGGTCCTGATACTGGCTCATCTGTGGCTGGCTCACACCGCAGCGGTGCTGAGGGTCAGCGAGGGCCTCCCCGAGGAGTCCTACCTCCAAGTGAGGTTTGAGGACGTGGTCAACTTCCCGCAGGAGACGGCGGAGAGCATACACACATTCCTCGGGGTGCCCGTCTCACCCGCGGCCCTCAACCAACTCATTTTCACCACCTCCACGAACCTGTACAATCTAATGTACGAAGGTGACATTTCACCAGCCAATATTAACGTGTGGAGACAGAACATGCCCCGAAAGGACGTCAGACTAGTAGAGGATGTGTGTGGGAGCGTGATGAAGAGGCTGGGTTACGCCCGGTCTGCCAGTTAACCTACTGCTGCTGGTCAGCTGATGTTGAGCTGTCTTGTTTTACTGTAGCTGCACATCCAGTTGTGTAAAGTTGTTTTTTGTTTTGTGTTTTTCTTTCTTTTGCACTGACATTAAATTTTAAAAAGACGATGTTACAAGTTGAGGGGAAAAAAAGCTGCGTAGCATTGCTGTCTTTGTTAAAAGTTTTTCTTTGTGTCAGCTGTATTTGTTTGGGTGTGTGTGTAAGGTGTTGTACCGACTACAGCAACAGATGTCGGTGAGGGAGGAATATTTTACATTAAAATAGGTGGAAGGGAGCTTCTGTTATTAGTCTTCTTCCCACAGCAGCTCTGTTCACTTTAACTTGTAGCGCTCTTTTATTGAGCGAGACTTTAGACCTTTGCTGTTTTTACATGCAGGGGGGGGGGAAACGCCACTGAGTTTCAGCACAAGTTTTGTGTTACCGCAGCGTCGTAGAACAGCTCTCAGTGAAGATTTTATTTACTGTGTCTCTTAGTGAGAGATGAAAAATTAGTTGTTTTTTTTTCCTTCCACCCCCCCCATGGCTAATCTGTGATGTCAGAAAAGATGTTTGTGCAAAATTCATATCTGTTATTACAGGGATTATGTTTGGGGAGGGGGTGGTGGTGGGTGGTGGGGTATTTACTGGTTTGTAACAGATGAAGCTCATTAAGAAATAAGACTCATATTTATTGACAGTCTCGGTTTCTAGTTTGTAGCTTTGGGAGACTAATTTGGCTGTCATGAATTTTAATATCTGAACTATTGAGTGCTGTTTCCCTTTAAAACTGTTAAAGAAAAAGATAAATATGCTGCAATGTACAGACTCAAAGCAAAAGCAGAGGACAAGAAGACGACAGCGGCGCTTTATTGTTATGATCCAGACGCGTAAATGATATGGATTGTAGTTTCATCACACCAGTGGAGGGACTTTATTTGAAGCTCAGTGATGTCATGACGGTTTGATGGCTTAGCACTTTCACAGAGACTCTTTTGATTGTATGTGGGATTCAGTGCATTTCTTTCTTTCAAAGCTAACTTTTACTGTATGTACTTGATTAGCTCTGAAATCTTAAACCTCGGAAGACATTTAAACCTCTGAAGATGTTATGTCTAGAAGTATTTATGGGTTCCAAAGACACATATCCCAAAGGATCAGGAATGAATATGATTATTGTAACTCCCTTTGGCATTTATTGAATTAGATCAGAGGGAAGTGCTTAATGGGGATCAAACTAAAAAAAAAAGAAAAGCAAAAAGCAAAAAAAAAACAAAAACTGTCAGCCTTGACACATTTCTAGTCAAAGCAATTTCCAAAGCATCCCCTTCAGCTACTCATATTAATCTGCACAATGCCACAACTGAGGCTTACCCTGTGTTATATTGCTGTGCTGTCTTCACCATAAACGCCTGGGGGAAATTCAAACAGCACAAAGTTTCCATTTCTCAGATATCCGATGATCTTTTTTGGGGCCTTTGTCTTGAAAGAGTTCAGTGAGCAGTGGATTAAAGGGGATGAATATTAAGTATAGCTAAAAAAAAAAAAAAAAAAAAAAAAAAAAAAAAAAAGAAAATTAAAGGGAGACCATTTCTACTATATGATGTTATTGCTCTTCGGCCTGGGCAGAAATGTACACTCCACTCCTCAGTAACCTTTGATGCTGTCTTGCTTGAACATTTCTGTAATGTAAATGAATCACATATAACATGGACATGGTGCACTCGATTATAGACTCTCCATTGCATCTGTACGCAAAAACAAAACAAAAAAAAAAAAATGTATATCTTTATATATATATAAATATATATATATAAATATAAAATAAAAAAACATACTGTGGCCATTTTGGAAATATCCATCTTCTCTCAGCTAGAAACAGTCCTGTTTGTTTTCTTCTCTATGAACACTGAAACCCTTGACTGCCTGGAAAACCCGTTTGATGTTTGTGGTCTTTGAATGTGTAGACTTGGCAGACATGCTTTCACTTTGGTGTTGCAATCCTGTTACCAACTCTGTTTTGTATTTGCTCGTGGGGATATGGTTCCTTGCTTCTGTGGCCTTGAATTACAATCATTTCTTTCTAACGGTTTTTCTGTGGGCTCCGGAGCAGGAGGTGGAGAGGATGTAAAGAAAAATAATAAATTCATAAATATATTGGCAACCAGTCTTTGTTTGGCTGTTGTGAATCATCTTGCGCTACGATAACGGTTCGTAGCGTGCGGTTGTACGACATCAATCCTCATTAGCTGCAGATATTGCTATTATACTCGTGTTAAACTAGCTATTATCTATCGCTACAAAAGCCAGAACATATATTTTAATTTGCAGATGCTCTCTTTCACTACGGTTGCCGCTAACTCACTAGTCAGACGTCTACTCATGCAGATGCCTCTGAGCTGCCACAATTATGAAGCGGCAAAGTCTCCATTTTATTAGATACGGATGACAGGAGCCTAATTGCTTATATGGATGACGTGCATGACAAGGAGGAGCCAACAATTAAAAACATGTCGGGAAATTCTTCTGCCATGCTCTGTGACTGCGATGGGAACCTTAACAGGAGCAAGGATCCGAAAGAGCACATGCCTCATCTCATGTTTCAGAACGGTCTCAATGAGTCAGTCATTTCATTACTCATTTGTTCTTGATCCCTCCTGTAACACTCCAATGCTTGGCAGCGTCCTCTAATCCTTCTATGCAGAGGCACATTATTCACTGCAACAGAAAGGGGGGAAAAAAAAGAAAAGAAAAAACCTCAGGCAAATGCTTTGGAAGGGAGGTTTCTACAAGTCCGGACTTGCACTCCCTGGCTGTTGAGCAAGCTTAGATTGATTCATTGTGGATCTGGGAGTGACTGGGAATATTGGTGCATAAATAATCCCCCTATCAATACTTAGTTTAACCTTCTACTGATTCACACGTTAACTCTCACGGGAGCTGTTGTTGTTATTAGATTTTGTGGTATGATTGTGACATGCAAAAACATTATATAGCATTTATAGGTTGTAACGATTTCCTTTATTAATGGTTAATTAGTTGGGGTTTTTTTTTTGTTTTTTTTACAGATGATCAGCCAGTATTGATCACATTTGGGTTTCCTGGTTGTCACAGAACCTAATGAATCTTCATCCAGCAGCCAGTGTGCTAACAGCCTACTTACTCTTTTCTTCAGTATTTCCATTTTATGCTAGTTTACACTTCTACTCCACCACAGGGAAAATATTCCTCTGTTTACCCTGCTGCTTATATTTAACGGATATATTTACCAGTTTAGATTAAAGTTGTTACTTAAACCAACCAAGAGAGATTTTCTCTCTAAACGTCTCAGATTTTATTGAAGGAACGATGTCAGGCCAAGTCGTTTCAGCCAATTTGTGTGTTAGTACTTAGTTTTTTCTTCTTTGCTTTGTCTTTATTCATCTCACGACCCCTCGACCCTTTGACGGGCCCGACCCCTAAATAAAGAACCACTGGGCTAATAATGTAGAAACCTTTTACTAATAACTAAATTCATTTATTAACTGCATTGATGTTAATTTATCATTTACTAATTAAACCGTTATATAACTGAGAACAGCTTTTAGGTCGCCAAGTTGTGAAAAATCTCCTCAATTTAGAAAAAAAAAAGGGTTTCAATTGGTAAAACACGATTTAATTAAGCTTTTTCAAATCAAGTTAACAAGTTAGATTAACACAATTGCCTTAAATCAGATGTACTTGATAATCTGATTGCTTTCAAATGGACTGTTTCCATTAATGCAACTTAGATTTTCAAATTTTTTTAACTCAATTATTTGCTCAACGACCAAATTTAGGGAAAGTCGTTTTATGCAGTAACATCAGTGCGTCGTTTTAGTTTGTTAAATATAATTAAAATACTGTGCAAAAAGCAAACAAACATAACCTGCTGTTATCTTTACGGTCACAGCACGGTTTTTGGACCAACATATTTTCATTAAATGCATAAAAAGGTTTTTATCATTGCGTCTCTCTAATACAAATATGCACAAAAAGCAGAAGTTATTAGGATCAAAAAGGTTATTTTGCTTCACTATTGATTCACACAAGCATTGAAATCTTTTCCCATACAAACCCCTCTCAACAGCTGCAGCTCTGATGACATGATGGCTTTAAAGACAGTAAGAAAATCTTGACCTTCTATTGAAGACTGAAAGGAGTTAAAGGATTTATCTAGCATTAATAAAGCTAAGCCCTTTCCAATAGTCCACCTTTATATGTAGGGTGTATTTAATACTTTATAATATATCATCCTTGAGCAAGTCAGTTATTTAACCATTAACAATCTATTAACCCTTTGCAAAGAGTGGCTTAAAACAGCGCCCTCTTTAACATTGGGCTTTTTAACAGGACGCTACATAAAGAGCTAATCAGGCTAGTCCACACATTAACTTAAAGTCTGCATAGATAATGTCTACCAATTAAATTTAATGGCTTTCTACAGACAGGGTAAAAAATAAAGCTCTACGTCAGAGTGTGTTTCCATAGAACTGATTTCCCATCTGAAAATAACGCAGCGGACGCCGGCTGCACGGAGAGACAAACACGCTTTGTGGAAAGCCTTTTGATGTCTGATCACAAGAGGCAGATTTGCAGAACTAATTTAAGATGGAAGGTTTCCTCATAGATTATCTCCGATGTTTGATAACCAATACGTAATCACTGCATGAAATAAGGTTTCACAGAGAACGTGGTGAAAAGCTGCGTTATGATCTAATCCCATGCAGCAGCTGTGGTAAGTGATCAAGTAGCTTCCTCAGACTATTAAATACACGGAAGTTATCCAGATAGAAAGGGGCGAGGGTGGGGTGGGGAGACTCAATTTCAGCTGAGTAGTCATACCCTTCCCTGTTCCACCTTTATCTTTCACCACTGGTGAGTCCAAGTCCCGGGAGAGCCTCTCCCTCGCCGGCAGCCATCGCTCCTGCCACTGCTCATTAATTAACCTTTGCTGCAGCCACCATCAGTCAGAGAGCAGCCTGATATTCTGGAGAGGAGTAATCATCGATACTGTATAAGTCTATTGTGCCGGAGAATTAGCTCGCTAATGGAGAGCAACATCGTCATTGTCGAGAGTTTTAAAACTTAAATGTGAATTTGATGTGCACGGCGTGATGCGAGCGTGTCCTTCAGACGACAAGAGGAGAGGCTCGGGGGCCGTATCCAGACTTTACAGACAAGGTGTAAGCAGCTGGCGATGCCGCTCTTCCCCTATATTTAGTCATTTTCGCTGTGGTAAACAATGCCTGTGAAGTCCTCAGATCCCACTGTTCAAATTTACCTGCTGATGACACTGCTGTGTTTGGATGCAGGGTGGTGGTGGTGGGGGGGGCGGATCCTGAAGAATTGCTATTAATAAGAGATGACTCGCGAGGAAATATGGCGCCTTGTCAATTTG